TAGATGGTCAATCATATTCCAAGAAGTGTATGATGACATCACTAAAACAATACATTAAACTTTAATTTTGTTTAATCTTTGTTTACAACTTCAGATGCTGTTTAACAGTATTCCTTCAAATCTACAAGTATGTAAAAAAGGCCTTAAATACTTTCTGTACTTCCTATCTCTTATTTATAACTTCATAGAAGAACTTACACTCTCAATTTCACACAGCATATAATCACTTGTAAGTCTTCAATTCTGGTGGAAGACATGCTACTTTTGTGCTCTCGAGTTCCTTTCCAAAAATCTACCTGACTCACTGATAAGCAGTTCAAAATGGACTAGCCTGTGCAAATGAGGAAATTTGTGATTGTCCTGAAATTTCAACTTGATGAAATAATTCATTGCACTCATAAATATCCTGTATCAGTTTTGCAATACTAAAATCCTCTCCATATTCTGGCTATGATTTTCCCACCCACTTTTGCTGATGATGTATGCAGTATCCCAAATCCAATGCCTGATTTCCAACATGACAAACAAAACGTAGTAAAAAGTGGTTCCAGATCTGGCTATTGCCACTAGAATAAAAACATCCACTTAACAATATCAACAATTGCCATAATATATCTCACATTTACTCAAGCAAGTATTCATTCTTCGGGGAGTACAAAATAGAAGACTACAAGTGACCTCTAACGTAAAGAGTAGAATTGTGCATGGAGTTTCACAAGGAGTATAATGCAGTCACTTCATATATAATACTGCATAACAAAAGCAACAATTATAATATAAGCACAGCCTAATATTTAGATAACCAGACAATTTAAGTTATCCTTTACATGGTTTCACAGTATGACTGATGTACAACTTAAGTTGGATGTAACAACCAGTCTACTTAGCTGGCCTTCTCCTTAGAATCTACAAAGTCTACATATTTTTTGCCCAGATAAAGAGCCCCAACTGCTCCAGCAGTGCCAATGACAGTGCGCAGTGCAGGACTCTCTGGGGCAACAGTGCGACCTAGGGCCCAGAGCAGCATAGATCCCAGGTTAAACATCACAGAGCCAAAGGCACTGAAAAAGGAGAGAAAAAAGTAGTTTTAATTCAAATAAACATGAAAGGATGTATTGGCAAAAAATAAAATAATTTCTTTAACTGTGGAAAAGAAGGGATAAAAGATAAAGATGGGGGGAGGGGTAGGGATTCATGATAGAGCAACTCTTCACTGAGTTTGCATGTCATACATGTCATGTCCACTGTAATTTTAGTTTATTAGTTGTGTTTTCACACACGAGTACTTAGTTCCCAAAGAGTCAATTACTAATCCTACCTATCTCACAGGTTTACCCTTTTTCTCGGTCTTCAAAAAATTGCAAGGAATTGACGTTATAAAAAAAAATTACAGTGGATAGTGCATGTACCCGTGTATAAAGGGTTAATATAGTTTCACTAAATAAATGAAAGCTTTTCAAAATTTGTCTGCAATACCTAATAAGATGGCCATGAATATCCTTATTTCATATGACAATAAAGAAACCAAAAATTCCACAGCAGTGCTCATACTCTTACCAAAATATGACTTTGTCCTTTGGAGAAGCTGAGGCAAGATGGGGGCGGGTGTAAATAAAAAGCCCTGTACCTAGCATGCTGTTTACCAGACATGCATTGGTCAGGGAGATGTACTGTGGAATCACACTGAAAATAAGCATATTATGAGTAAATGAAGTATCTAATGCCTAATACTACCTTGATTATCATGTCAAAAACATGAAAAATCCACATTCTTAACATAGTTTTAAATTCTGCAATGAACCTTAGGGACTACTTTGAATTAAAAAAGGGAGTAATAATAACAAAGGACTAGAAATAAGAGTAAATACTTCAAAGAGACTTTAAAATAGACCTGTAACAAATTATTGTATAAACAGTATTCAGTCTCTCTCCTCTTTGTATATGGGACATATATATTGGCAGTTGATAAGAGACCGCCTAGACTTCACTTTTGAGCTAGTTCTGAATAGATGTTCTGTTTGCCTGACCTGTGGCATCTGACCAAGATAAAGTGAATTTTAATGCACAGGTTAATTTTTGTGGCATATTTTCAAAAACCTATAACTATAATGATAACACATTGAAAAAGGATTTCTAAATTGTAAACCAGAGTCTGTGTCTTATATCAATATGTCTTGCATTGTTAACCCAATGCTGCCAAGGATGGCATTATATACACTTGACATACCCACTGTGAATTTAGATTATTTATCAAATTGTGTTTGGCATCACAAGTGCTTAGTCATCAATGAGTCAATTACTAATTTTACCTATCTCACCAGTTTACCTTTTTCCTTGATTTTTTTAAATATTCTTATTTATCTATTTTCATTTATTTTATGTTGCTATTAATGATAACAGCACTGATATCAAACATTTTTCCTGAAAACTCAAGGAAAGGGATAAATCATATACCGTCTAGTAGGTCTACTAAGCAAATCTTTAGTGGCAGTGAACTTATAGTGCCATCAAAGTGCAAACACATAAAAAACAAAACAAAAATAAAACAGTTTGCATTACTTGTCCCTAGCAGCTACATCAGGTTGAGCAAAGGTCAATAAGCTTTATACATAATAAACTTTGCATTGCATACCCCACAAAATATAATTTTCCAAGGCTTGATAACTACAAAGAGGAGATGAACCCTGAGGATTATATTCCAAAATAATTGGGTTGGTAAAGTACTACCACACCTGTCATACCAATTCAAATCACTAATCAAAATCAACATTCAACACAGAATCTGTGCATAAAGTTGGACATTGCAAGATAAGAGCTCATATAAGAGGGAAAATATATATAGCAGGTTGTTCACCAAGGAATGTTAATTAATGAAACACTTACTTATATACTGATTACATTCTTTTCTGCATTAGGCCGACATGCACCTATGGTTATAATATAGAAACAATTGAATTTCTATAGACAAACATTGTTACATTAAATGACCCAATGTTAAATATGAAGACAAGACAATCCTCCCCTCGGGTAGTACCTGAGGGGCACGCCCAGTCACAGCATCTTGGCCTGTTGAATATATTTTGTGACAGCGTATTGAGAACTTAGTCTCTGGTGACTGTTTCCATACTGTAAAGAGTTACAATTTCATGACTCATTTCATTGCAATACCACCCATAAGCAAAGATAAGAACCATGTCATTGACCAATATAGACCTACAAGTTGCAAATATCCAGCACAGAGTATACAATACCAGCAAAGGTTCTAATCAATAAATGAAAGTAGCAATTCCATTGTTTGTGATATTTGGTTCCATAATAGTTTCAATGAAAAAGAGACAATTCAAGGGAACAAAATCTTAAAGCTAGGTCAATATTCACCTCAAGAAGGCAGGTACTTCTTGCTCATGAAAACCCGAAGACAGAGTAAGTCACGTGAATAAACCCTTTCTCGTTCTGTGCACTATACAGAAGATATATAAAATGGTCAATACGTAAATGAAGCCCCTTATGTTGCTTGCTCTGCTTGAAAAAGGCCTGGAGCATGAAATGTGTGTCATAATAATCGCCATCTAATGTTTACTCTGAATTAGGGTCTTTATCCTAGATCCTTGATTACTTGAATACCAAAGATATATACTTTTTAGCTTTTGGTAAATTTACTGCAGATAACAATCTAGGTTACAGTAAAAAAAAGTGTATGGAATAATTACCTTGACATAAACTAACACACTTTTCATCAATGACATAAGGTTCGCAAATTGAAAATAAAAGAGATACATGACAGAGAAGGGAGATGATCATCCCATCTTTTTTAAAATTCTTTGCCATGTTGACAGTGCGAATGTAAACAAAATTATGAACACTTAACTTCTTCCTGTGCTCTCTCAAGTAGATCATGTATTACTACGCTTTTTGTCAAAACGATATTTAGCTAATTATCAGTGTATGCTTTTCCACATTTATGCTTTCAAAGGCCTTTATTAATGCTGTTATACCTCATTTACGTGTTTTAAGATCTATTAGACAGTGATTTATGGGAATCGGTCTGAAGAACCTTCTGCACATGCGCATTTTTGTGTTTCTGGCCACCAGGTTTGACAGGGCGATTCCCGGGCATTTGGTGACAGAAGGCCAGCAAGAAATGTCTTGTTTTTGGTGTTGTATTGATTCCAGGTTATTCTTAGGATTATGCAGAGGCAACGAACAAGAAAAAGATGTTAATAACTATCGCAGTTTGATTTCTGAAGCCATCAAGTACCCCATATCCTAAAAACAGTGATAAAAACGAATTGATCCACAACAGACCGACTGAAAGAAACAAAGTAAAATTGACAGTTCGGTCTTGCGATATATAAAGGTAATTTGTTTATTGTTTACAGTATGGATGTAGCTCTATCTTGCCGTACATACCGAGGTGAAGAGAATGTGTACTGGGGGGTGTTGGGGGGCAGAGCCCCCCATCAACCCTCCCCTCGGGCAGTGCTTGAAGGGCATGCAAAGTTACGGCACTATCAATTAAAAGTTTAAATGGGGTATGGGTCAGGACGTTTTTTTTTTTTTGGTTTGGTAGGTGTGAAATCCTGTAGATTTTGCAGAAAGATGGGTTGGATTCCCAGAGTTTTTTATTTTTATTTTGGCGTGTCAGTGTGTAGACTTTCATACAGTTTCATTAGCTGATTTTTAGCATTTTATGTATTCGCTATTCTTCTTATTTAAGCCTGTTTTACCCCATAATTTCCCTGATATACTTCATGCCCTCCCCTGCTACCAGGACTAACACATCAAGATCATTGGCTGTTATTGCTACAGAAATGATTATGAGATTTATTCTCATCACATGACAATAAAGCTGATGATATAAATATTGTCTGGGAAGTCCCAATTGTCATAACTGAAAAAATAACCCAGCTTTTTACACAATTCCATGCCACTGTGTGAAGGATAGACTTACTTATATACAAGATGATGATACCATTCCCAATTAGGTTGGGTTACATTAGGTTTGTGCTTACTACCCGGAAATAACATTTATACGTGCATATTCACGTGTGATGTATGCCTAACTGTGAGACATCAGATACGGCTGCCATACACATAATGCTGGCCCAAATAAATGAATAGGGTATAAATAAAGGAATACAATGTAGGAAGGTTAGTTTGTTTTTTTGGGGTTTGCCTGTTACCCTGGTTTTGGAACTGTCTATGGAAGGTGAGTCACTCCCAGCAACAAATACCAAGACTTACTTAAATACCCAACAAATAAATAACCCCATAAACTGCCCAACAACATATCCCACCCAACCCCAGTTCCAAGGTAAACCCCAAACTACCATACTGTCTCCCATAAGCAAACCTAAACCTACACCCAAAACCAGCAACTCACATGAACTTGAAGTTCTCGTAGAGCTCTGGCGTGAACATCTGAGTGCTGAGCATCACATAGGCCATGGAACCTTTCAAGGGCATGTAAAAACCCATCACGCTCTTCACCGTGACAGGCTGAAGACCGGCTTTCACCAGGGCGTTGTTCACCTTCTCGGGGAATGTCACCATCTTGGAGGCTCTTCGTTCCTTGCTTCTCCTTCGGCTTCTGTGGCTTTCTTCTGTTAAGCTTTGGTGGGAATTTTTTTATCGGTTCTTCTTCTATCGGTCTGCACTACAGCGCTCGCCGTCTGTTCCTTCTGTGTTCGTCTCCCGTCTTTTATTTCTCTTCACAATCTTGTTTCTTTTTTATCCGTTTCTCACTTTCTTTCTATGACAATTCTCCTCTTTCTTCTGTGTTCTCTATGCCTCTTTCCCCTTCGTCTCCGCCTTCTCCTTGCTTTCGGACTCGTCGGTCTCCTCCTTTGCTTCTTGTCTTCTGCTACGATGTAAACAAACATTTTGGTTCTTATTAGAAGAAGGAAAGAAAATATTCTGAAATGGGAAGGTCTTATTCATGGATCTTGTATGTTTCCTAAGAATTGAAAAATTGTTAATGTTAGTTTCTGAAACAATGTGTATGATAATTTATTCCACAATTCAAAAATGCGGGTATTAAAAGTCTAATAAATACTCTTATAGCACCTTTTTTTGCAGTAGATCTAAAAACATATCTACGTTGTTATTCAAAATTCAGATAGAAAAGAACAAACACAAATACGGAAACATTAAGAGATCCGACTAAAATCGAGGCTAAAAACAAGTATAAACGTTGCTACCAATTAATGAAAAAAGAAAGAGTAAGAATTAATAAGTAAAGGAATAAATGCATTAATGAAAAATACTAACGGATAGTTAAGGAGAAATAACGGCAAAACCTTGCCTTAGCGAGTGTAAATGACTTTACCAATAAATAACAAAACGGAATAATGATACAGCGAAACGAGCACATAGCCAAATCCCCAAATAAAGAATCCCAAGAAATACAAAAATAGAAAAAAAGAAACACATAATGATAAAAGCTAATAATCCAGACAAAAAAGAAAAAGAAAAAAAAAAAAAAACACCAACTGGCAACGAGAGCGCGGGAAAACTCGGCGTCTCGAGGAAGGACGGCGAACGAGGCGGAGAAGCAACCCCAATTAACCTCCCTTTTCACCCCTTTCCCCTTCGTGATTCGCCTCGGGAACCCTTCGAGGCCTGGTACCAAACTCCCGTCGAGGTAACTGTGAGGTTGGGGTGTTTCAAGGTCTGTGTTATTAGGTGGATAAAGGTGTGATAAAGCGAGTGTTTTTTCCGGGGTGGTTTGCCCAGATGGAAAGGTTCGGTGTATGCTTCTGCGCTTATTTATTTATTTTTTTTTTGAGAATGGCTCTTGGGGAAATTCGTGTCATCACTTCCAAAAGGGGGAGGATCGCCGGTGATGCCTTGAGACGGGGGTGAAAACCAGGGTTGGATTAAATCTCTCCTCCATTTAAAGCGTTTAAAGGGACCACCACGACCGTTGTATTTTTCCTCGACTCAGATTACAATACACAAGATTAATTATTATTATTTTTTTTTAATTAATTATTTTAGGATGTGGTTCAGTTGATTTATGACTTTCGTTTTCCGTTTTTATTTTTCGAGCAATGGAAATAGAGGGAATCCTGATTTCTGTGGGCATATAGGCCTATTTTCACCTCCTGTGTTTAGATAAGAATAATAAATCCCTTTTTTTTAAGATCTTGTCTAAATGCCTTTAGATAAAATAGATTTTGATTAGATTTTTTTTTATTGGCTTTTCTTTCAATTCTCACAATTTCACTCATTTTCTGCTACATATGGAAGTATATTTTTCATTGAGCAGTTGATAAAGATAAGATGTATATCCACAGGTGGTTTTGTGGAGAGCGAAGCAAGATGCTGCGCGCTCAGGACCTCAGCGACTATGAACTCCTGCGGAATAAAAATATTCAGGAGAGGCAGCAGATGGTGTGTATTTTTTTCTTCTTTTCGTCACTTAAAAAAAAAAAAAGTATGTATCCTACTAGCTTCGATAAAGGTCATTGGATCTCTACCAGGTATACTACTGTGTGGTTTGTTTGAGTGGCATTGTATTCGTGAAGTAAACAGTTGGTGGAATGAGTGACTATATCTAAGACTTGTCAGAAGGACTTGTAAACCAGGTAATTTATCATCAATTAAGGAACCAGCCTTAACTTGCCAGAATGTGTGGCGGAGGTTCATTGCCCTTTGCTGATGTACGAACCTGTTGATTGGCACTGTGTCGTTATTGTATTGGACATGGGATAAAAAAAGCTTTTCGTTGCAGATGACAGCAAGCTTCAAGTGGATTTGGATAGAAAGCAGCCAGTATAATTACCAGAGAAATGTTCATATGGATAGCTAATCTGGGTGTTTGTGTATAAGCTTAGAAATATTTATATTGACTTTTAAAATGGATGTCTTTTAGATTCTTACACCATTTGACAGCTTTATCATTATTATTTGGTTCAGATTTTATATGTAGGTAATTATTTAGAGTTAGGAAGGTAGAAGTGTGAGTTGAAATATTATGGTAAAATAGAAGTGATAAATTGTTTTTAAGAGGAAGTGTACTCATAGACGTAGAATTTTTTGGCAAAAGTCATCATAAGACTGAATAATAGTTTGTTATAAGATTCAGTTGTAGATGAATTACTACACTTTAACCAGACACAAGTAACTAAGTATTGTAAATAAATACTTGTCAAAAGGAGGCGAAAAAAGGGATTTTTTTTTTTTTTTTAAATATATTTATTCCTCATTTCAGATTGCTGCTCTCATGAAAGATTTTGAAGACCTGAAGAAAACAGTAGCTCCCCCAAAGCCTAAGCCCCCAACTAAAACCACTCCAAAGGTCAAGAAAGTTGACGATGATTATTGGGGCTCAAGGAGAGAGTCGGCACGAAAGAGTAGATTCCAGCCCTACTGGTCACCTCCACGTACTAGGTAGATAAATATAAATGATAACCAGATATGATTTTTTCGTTGCTTTGCTATTTTTGCAAAAAGGAGAATAGTTCTGTAAGGACAGTATGTTCATTAAGGCCATGATTATGAAATCGGATATCTCTGTTAACCTTTAACTCTCTAAGTGCTGGTACACATTAGCTTGATCCTTTGTTGTGGCCAAGGCATGTATATCTGTTGACAACTAGTTAAAAAGACACCAAGGCATAGCTGTGGGTGTTTGGTATTTTGCAGACATAGTTGAACTAAATGGGATTAAACCAAAGTTAGTGGTGAGTGCGAGGAGTTTTTGTGCAGCTGTCATTGTGGAAAGACCGACAGACACTTAGGGTGGGGGAGTAGACAGAATTGCGGGGAAAAAACGTATTGAAGGGTGGGGGAGTAGACAGAATTGCGGGGAAAAAACGTATTGAACAGATTGGCATTTGTCAACCACACATCTACAGACCTACCCCATTTCTGTGGGATAAAGGAATATGTTCTTGTAAACTTTTGAAGAATAACAGTACAATGTTTGTCAACAGATCAAGAAGGGCCAGTGTGAGTTCCTCCACTGTAAGTTCACCTTCTGACTGGCAGCAGCTGGAGGATGACGAGGAGGAAGATTCCAAGCCCTTATACCTCAAGTTCCGCTTCAGAAAAGTGGAGCAGATACTCAGTGAACTCGCAGATCCAGGGGATTCAGATGACGATGATATTCAAGTTTATGTTGATGTATGTATGATATCCATTGTATTTGATCCAAGAAATGGTTTTGCTTGCTAGTTGTGAATTTTGTTGAAAGGTCAAAATTATAAAGTTAATATCCCCTTACTCTAATCAGTTAACAATGCGGAGGGTATTGTTGGTGTAGATTTATTGCAGGTGATATACAATCTTGATTAGTATAAAATCATATAAGAAATAGAAAGGCACTTCAGACATCTTGTGCAGTCTGTGATCATTTATGGTTGAGGGTGTATTGTCATGGCCATTTACTATTGTTACCTCATATATGCAATTCAAATTTTATCACTTATAATCTCTCCACAGGATATGGATGTGAAGAGAATGAGACAAGCGTCTAGGAACCTATCTTCCTCATTCACATTTTCACCAGTCAAGAGGACAAGTACAGGTGGAAATGAAGGAACTGGTACTTCCAAGAGAGGAAACAATACATTTGATCCCAATGTCAATATCCTCATGCCAGAGGACATAAGCAAAGCAGACCTTGACAATGTAGCAGACCGCAGTGGGGGCAAGATTTACAATGCTCATGTTGGAACTACATGTCATCAGTGCAGGTGATTTATTTTTCAAAAGATTATTTAAGTGTGTTTCATTCGCTTTTGTATAGGTATGACTGCAATTTTTTAGTTTTCGTATGTATATATCACTTTTAAAGCATAACTATATGTAATGAATATTTGAGGTGAATTCGGTCTGTGTGTGTGTATGTAAGATGTAAAGAGATAGAGCTTGATAATCTTTGTTATTCAAATGAGAAAGGTAATATACTGATAATTCTTTCTTATGCAGGAATGATGTACAAAGTGTATAGTATGATAATCGGACACAAAGTTTTGTACTAGATAGAAAAAAAGATATATGATTACCTTCAACATCATTTTTTAAAGAACGTTTATAGAACCACCAAACCTTCTTTACAGGCAGAAAACTATTGATACCAAGACAGTATGTCGTTCTGGTGAGTGTGTTGGTGTACGTGGAATGTTCTGTGGACCTTGTTTGAAGAATCGTTATGGTGAAGATGTTAGGGAAGCTCTGCTAAACCCTGTAAGTTGACTGTACTTTTGTGGATAGGTTTATCATATGCTAGTTATGTATTTTACTATTGTTATAAAATGAAGGCCATAATAGTATTATTTGTCTAATATGATTATGATCATTATTGCTATTTTTGTCATCACTTCTTTTCTACTTTTTGCTGTGCAGATGGTTTACATGATAATTTTCAAGTTTTGAAATGTAATTTTGTTCATTAGTTTTATATTTTCTACAGAAATGGATGTGTCCTCCCTGCAAGGGTCTCTGCAATTGCTCAATCTGCCGAAATCGCAATGGAAAAGGTGCTACTGGTATTCTCATTAATATAGCAAAAGCCAAAGGCTTTGATAATGTGAAAGATTATTTGGAAAGTTTGATGAAGTGAATCCTGTTGCAAGATATCCGTGTAGCACTGTAGCTATTAAGTGTTAGGGGAGATATTAGACTCCATAGATAATAAAAGATCTATCAACATTTCCAAATGTGTACATTTTATTGAGGCTTTTGGTTTTACTTCAGCTACTGAGGCTCTTCTCTTTGGATGAAGTGCATTTTCTGACCAGTGATTTAATTTTTCCAAACTTCATTACCAATTAAGTACAAAATAGCTGATAGGATTCTCAAAATGTGGCCTCTCTATATATAGAAATATGAAATATGCATCTATATCAATGCCAAATAACAATGTCATTGTGTAGGTTATTTAATTTTAATCCATCAGTACTGAGTGATTGCACTGTATATTATAATTTTTTACATTTTTTTTATATTTTTTTTTTACACATAGATGGCTTCACAAACAAGTAGTCACTAACGAGTCAATTAGGAGACCTATCTGACCTTACTTAATATACCCAATCCTTGAATTTTTGGGAAAGTTAGTTTTATAATGTTTTTGATATGTTATTATTATTGACATTGGTATTAGTACAATATTCTAAATGGTAAGAGCAAAATGAAATAAACAATAAAAACCTCAGTGAAAATCAAGGAAAAGGGTAAATAGTCGAGAATATGTAGGACTAGTCATTGACTCCTTGGTAACTGAGGTCTTGTGTAGACATATATATGTAAGCAAAATTAGTAGACAAAAATCCATTATCAAGTAGATATGGCGTGCATTTTTGTCATTCGGTATCGATGGGTTAATTGATAACCTAGACAATTTTTACAATCATATTAGTGTCTAATGTGAATTTAATGATAGCAACATTGTCATTACTTTCTTTAAAACCTATAATACAAGTCGAGTTTTTTCTTTTCCTGCTTTTCTTCCCTGTTTTCCTCTTCTACTCCTTGTCCTTTTCCATTTTTGGTTCCATCTCTCCTTTGATTGACCTTACTTCTCTTCCTTCCTGCATCATTCCAGTTCCTTTTTGCCTTTATTACTTCTGTCTTTATTCTTTTTCCTTTTTCCCCTTCTTATTTTTTTCAACTCGAGATATGAATGCATGCTTAGAAAAAAGTAACAAAATTCTTTGGTGCCATAAGATTAAACAGAAAATATTTTTCTTTTCTTTTCCTTTTTTTTTCTTTTCATTCTTTGATTTAGTAGTTTTGTTGAATGTTATTCCATCAGATTGGAAAAGGGAGATTTTTGTGTTTATTTTAATTGTATTGCAGATTTGTTTTATGACCAGTATATTAGGATTTTTTTAAAAAGCCCTATGTTTGGGGAAATATGAAATGGATGAAAAGGAGTGACTATGGTCAGTTTATTAATTTTAATTTGTACTGTTAGCCTCAACAGGGACTTTTTCCAGTTTAGAGGTAAAATAAAGATGCATTTTAGATTTTAGTAATAGATGTGAAACTGAATTACAGGCTTGCTGTATTTGATGTTTGAATGAATTAGGCCAATTGAAAAAATATTCATGTTCCTGTAATAGTAAGAATTGATAGGGCCATTTATGTATGTATGCATGCATCAACAATGAGTTGCTAGAGCTTCTGTTGTGCTTAAGCACTTTGAAAAGAATCAGGTTTTATGTTAATTTATAAAAAATACTTGAAAAAGGTAAAAGATTTAAGGTTTATCCCTGACAATAGGATTAGATGGGATACAGGAACCAACATTTTTCTTTTTGATGGCCGTATCACTTTTCTAGAAGTTACAGCTGTGATAACAATTTGTTATAAAGTGTATATTTTAGTTGGCTATTAAATGATATTTACAGAAGAGTTCATGTATCATTTTATGTAATACCAACATTACATCCTAGCTGTTCATTGATAGTTGGCAAAATTTTACCCATAAATTAAAATGATCTTTTTACTGAATTCTTGGTGTACTGAGAATAATATTGAGGTACTGC